CTTAAGGGTTCTTAAAAATGTCATTATTTTTGTTGTTGTTATTTTGTACTGTCACAGTTTTTTTTTCCTTGGCGTTATTATCAACGTCATCACCATCATAATAATCACTGTCACTGCAAGTGTTGCCAGGTTGCACAAATAGTATATCACTCTCGTTGTTCTAATAGACATGCAATGACTGTCATTGTTCCGAATTCTTTCGTTCATAGTGTGAGTAAGATACTTGCCGGTTATATAGACAATATTGTATATATGTACAAATGTACGTATGTACAACAATGTATGTGAGACTTCCATGATATACAAGCGTACAAAATTTTGCATGTAAATTTATGTCGATATGTAGGTACGAAGAGATACATGTATGTAAATTGCATGAACTCTATCAAGCTGCTGCTGTTGTTGTTTGTTACTGTGTTGTTCAGTTTAGTTTAGTTTTTTTTTAACGTTTTGTTGTTTTGAAATTGTTTTCTGTAAATGTTTCAGTGTGTGTGTGTGTGTGTGTGTGAGCACTACATACATAGCACATTTATGCGGATATTGAACTCTGAGTGTGGCGTTAATTGACCTCGTGCTTAAAATGTAGAAAAAAATAATGAACACAAAGGCAACAGAATAAATAATAGCAAAACAAATAAATAAAGTCAATTTAAGTAATGTAAAATGTTAAATTAAAAATAATGACATATGAAGTGAGCAATTTTTTCGAAAAGCATTCAACATATTGGACATATTATCCAAACTCCCACGACACCTGGACTCCTATTTTACCTTGTCTGTCTCTCCACTAAAATTGGACATCAATATTTTTCAACTTTGAAAAACAAAATTCAGGGTCATTTGCCCATAAGCAGACCATGAATTTGAATCCGATTGCTTGCATTTTGAAAATCACCCCCTGAGCTCAGTTGCAGAAATATTTAGCCACTGGCAAACAAAGATCGAAAAACTGAATAAGAACAAATGAATGAATGGATGGATGAACGAACTAACGAACGACAGGCCGACCGACTGAGCCAAAACTTATTATCTTTTCGAATAAATCTTTAATTAATTTTATGAACTGAAATTTGTGTACTCGTGTACTCAATTTAAATTTTAATTAGTTTTTCTTAGGCACAAATACAAGGAGGCACTGTGTACACCAATACATGCATACATACATAGATGCCATTGGTCTCAAAATATTAATGTAGGTATTGTGTGTGTGTGTGGGGGGAAAGTGCTTGCTCAACATTTTACACAAAGCAATTCATCAATGCAAGCATGCACACACACACATACATGAAACATTTATTTGTATAACATTTTATATTTAACTTTATTAAAAATAAATGCCACAAAATTAAATTATAAATCCTTTCCATGACGATGATGAGAATGAACCAACACCACCACCATCCCCTACGCCCTTTTCCCAAAAAAAGACCCAAAGAAGAAAACCCGAAAACAAAATCCATTCGTAGCAACGACGATGGCAACCAACCACAACAACATGGAAAAACGTGACAAAAGTTAATTACAAAGTTTTCCTTCTCATCGTCATCGACAACAACGATGTTGTTGGCTTCGTCATCAACTTGATGTACGAAATATGCAAGTTCGAGTGTGTACAGAGGGTGGGGAGGAGGGAAGGCCTGCATTTGTTGTGCTAGATCAATTTTTTTGTTTTCGTTGCAAAAATACGATGCTTGTTTTGATTGCATATGTGTGTGTGTGTGTGAAAATAGTATGGGAATATCGCTATTTAGGCCCCTGCTATTTTGTTTTTAATTTGCTGGGTCCACCAAGGGCATGACAGTTGGATTTGGAACCAGAATCTTAAGGCCTTTTTCTGTGTGAATTATAAAAACCAAATGCGAAATAAAAACAACGACTTTTTACAACTAATTTTTTCTGACAGGTTTGATAGATGACAGCTCAAGCAATAGAGATGGTAACTGCTAAACCCATAAAAAAATACTTGAAAATTTGGAAAACCAGAGAGAAAACAAACACTTAAATCATTACTAAAATATTTTCTAAAATTACCGCACTTTTCTCTTTAGCAAAGCAATTAGCGCGTTTACATGTAAATTTATTGAGTGTAAACGTACTATTATTTGGCCATGCTTGATACACAACTATTTTGATTACAAATGAAAAAGTGATGCCAAATTGTTGTTGTATGCGCATAAGAGTTCCTTGTATTCGATATTAGTTAAAACATTTTTTGCTTTAATTCAATAAAATTAAAAAAAAAAAATGTAAAAATAATGGCGTTTGACTTTGTTGCAGTTTTTTCATCTAACCCTGTAAATCATGGCAGAATAATACAGATAGTCGCATCGACACAGCTGCTGGGACAAAGAATTGTCAATTCAATGTCGGAATTAAAATGTTTGAATGAAAAATTATTCAAATTCGTTAAAATTGTTGAAAAATGCCCATCATAACAACTTCCGATTGATATCGTACGTATAACATGTACAAATATACTTATATATATATATATATATATATATATATATATATATATATATATATATATATATATATATATATATATATATATATATATATATTATATATATTTAAAAAAAACATTGGTAGAAGAATAGAGATAGGCGCATCAGTATTCTTCTACCATGCTTGACACACAACTATTTTGATTACAAATGAAAAAGTGATGCCAAATTGTTGTTGTATGGGTATAAGGGTGCCTGTATTTCGATATTAGTCATACTTTCCGCATATTGTTTAAACTCTACTTCGCAAAAACTGTATTGAACGAATTATATTATCAATATATTAGCTAAAATCGTTTCGCAACATAATATATCTTTTCCTCAATTATTTGGAATTATTTGTTTTTATCGGAAAGAAAGAACCACTTTCTTTTAAGATAATTACTTTGAAATTTCCATTAAATACACAAACTTGATAAGTTTAGTATTCATTTAATTATTTTTAAATGCTGTGTTCTTCTTGAAACCATTTTGAATATCGACTTTAAAATCTCTCAACTCGTCTACATTAGTTTGGTCGCTTCTGTTAGCCATCCATCCATCCAACGGCAGACTTGGACTCCACACACTTGAGAAAGTAAGCAATGTAAAAGTAAACAAGAAAATATTGAGGATATTTTAAATTAAAAACATGCTAAATAAACATTAATTATAAATTGTACTGGGTATGTATGTAAAAACGAGTTCTACTACTACATGTTACTACTTTTCCATGTTTCTGTTTTTTTTCGTGCCATTTTCATGTCGCTGTTGCTGCTACGTTATTATTTTAATTGACGTTCGGCTGCTGTCATTAGCTACAAAGTTTATTTACATGACGACGATGACGATGACGACGACGGCGATGGCAATGATGATGAGATGGCAATAATGGTAATGGTTGATGGGAATAGTGACGTTTAGTTAGAAGCGGCAGCACTGCTGCTACTCGGGCTGTTGACTTTGTTGTGGAAACCAAATTAAAATGTAACATTCTTGTGGCGAAAAAATAATAATAATTAGAATTTATGACAGGGAATTCATATAGTTGCTATTAATTTAGCACAAAATTCAGCATGTTGTTGTAGTTTTTCGAATAAATAATTTAAATTTGGAATTTCGGTGTTGCCGTAACACCAATGCTGTTATAGAAAAATCCATAATAATGTCAATCGCAAAATGTATTAATAATATATGTTATATTTGATAATTCCAATTCAATGAAATTATCGGAAAGTTACGAATATGTTTTCCGATGACAGCGAAAGTTTTAGGCAAATGTTCTAATTAGTATTAAAATGTCTGTAAGTAAAGTTTTAGATCTAACACAGTTTTGATAAAAGTCGTAAATTGACATTTTAAATAGTGAGTCTTATACAGCGTTTACATGAGTAGCTTCAATTTTTTGTAGCATTAAAACAAGCAAGTAAAATTTCGAAAATTTTAAATTTTTTTCTGTCATACACATATTTAGTTTACTGTAAATTTTTGCATGCGTAAACGTCGGACTTTTGATGCAACAATTCTTTTCTAAAACTTGTTATTGACACTTTATATTGTGACTGGTAGCGTAGCCCGACGTCAAGGAAGTGGACGGAAGAAAACAGCAAGATCAGCAGAGATGGTTCGAAAAGTAAAGAAGCGACTTGATCGAAACCCACGTCGCAGTGGCCGAAAAATGGCTCGTGAGCGGAACATATCGCAATATTCTATTCGGCAAATATTGAAAAATGAAATTGCCATTTAAATTCCAAAATGTGCAAGAACTTACACCGCAACAAAAAGAAAATAGACACAAAAGAGTTAAAGAGTTGAAGCTGAAAATGTGCACCTTCGGTTGGCCACCAGAACTCAAGCACCGGCCATTGTGATGGTGTGGGTCGCCATAACAGCCGATGGTCGCTCTCTTCTCTTATTAATCGACCGTGTCATCAGAATAAATGCCGAATATTATCGTGAAAATATTGGAGAGGATGTATTAAAACCTTGGGCATGCAAACATTTTGGCCGCAGACTTCGGACATTCCGACAAGAATAATTACAACATGATGTTCCCCGCTACAGCTGCTGGGACAACGAACTGTCAAAACAATTTTGGAATTGAAATTTTTGAATAAAAATGTGTAAAAATTGTTGAAAAATTGTATTGTAATAACCTCCAATTGACGTCGTAGAAAAATCTTCTTATTTTTGAAAAAAAAAAAAAACATTTAAAAATTTTTGACGTTGATGCATCTACCTGTATTTTGTTACCAAGAGTATTAACATAATCTGCATTTATGCCAGTTTACATTTAAGACATTTGTACTGAGAAAGTGATTTATCCTATTCATATTTATTCTATGAAATTATGAGTTAAAAAATCATGATGAGGCAGTAATCAGGATAAAGGGTTTTAATGTAAACTCAGTTTCAGTTTCTAATATTATAAACGTCAACATAGAAAACCCAGTTTTTCGCATCCACCAACAACTAAATACAAAAGCACATTTTAAATATTTCTATACATTGCCTTTTAATAAAAAAACATATTTACATTTTTTAATTCCATTTATAATTTCCAACATTTATTTGATGCCCACCCCCTGCATTAAACATATACTTCACAGGCTTTCCATGTCATTTTTCACAATAACAATGACTGCCTATTATTATTCCGAAAAAGACCACCTGCAATTTTCTGGTACCTCAACATCCCAGATATTCCCCAATCAGCCGCATACAAACGACCAAAAAAAAAAAAAAAATAGCTGCATGTGAGATGCAAAGATGTAAAATGGCAAGAAGAGAGAAATGTTGAAAATCTTTATTCTTCCAAGACATTGTATGCCACTTTAAATAATTAACCAAACAACAAGACGTGCACAGGAAAAACAACAACAAACCAAAGAAGAAATCCAAGTAAAATGAGAAAATATAAAAATCGTAAATCAACAACTCTCAAGCATGGAAAGAAAATGCTTTTTGGGTGACCATGAAGTACGAACAGGGAAGAAGGCAAAGGAGAGGAGAGAGGAAGCAAAGGAGGAGTATTGTAAACGAGCGCATCGCAAGAATACCAACGGCTATGTCGTTCAAGCAAACGTTCATTATATCCAAGTGGATATGAGAACCACTCGGCGGTGGTGGCGGCATATATGCTTAACTAACGTTCCCTTACATATAGACATTGAAGTCTAGGTTGGCCGATAGAGGATGGTTAGGGGAGACTCCCATGTGTGTGTGTGTGTGTGTATGGGAAGAATATACTTAAAATAAACAGCTGAACATTAAATGTGGGGTTTTATTTTCTTTCTTGAATCGCATAAGACATAAGTTTAATTAACACAAAAAGAGTCTTTAATTAAATCAACAATAATCGCCGCACATGATGTTATAATAAAGGAGAGAAAACAGAGAAAGAAAAATAATTCACTTTATTGGGTAATATATTTCTATTCAATTAAATTTAAAAATTTGTGAAATGATTAGGTTTTAGCGAGTACTGCTAAAAAACTCACAATGTATTTGAAATTCCAAATAAATTAAATATTAATTTCATGATAATTACATTATTTATTTGCAATACTCCCCGACAAACAATACCCCACACACCCTAACAAAAAGATTCACAAAGTTTGGATTCCATGAAAAAAATAAACTAACAAAAAAGTCAAAAAATACACACACACAAAAAAAGAGCAATGAACTTTTGATGAATTACCGAAGAATTTCGTTTAAAAATAAATGCGGAACAAAACAAAACAAGCAACAACAAAATAAACACAAGAAATAAAGATTAACTTGGAGTACAAATTCGCATATATAAATACATAACTCAAAAGGTTCTTTTTGTTGTTGCTGTTGTCGGCGGGTAGGTACATTGTTAATTCAAGACTTGAATTAGATGAATCATAATTTGTTATGCTGTTTTTTTTTCTTCTTCTTCTCTCTTTCTTTTTGTTTATGAAAGAGCATATTTTATTGTTATTTTTTTTGCGGTGGGTATTGAGTAGAAACGTTTTTAACATAATTTGTCTTAATTAAGCGGTTTTTGTTGTCTTAACCCATTTCTATGAATGTCAATGGCTTACCCGTAATTTCAACAGTTTGTAACGTGCGCTTCGGTTCGTTCATTTTTTTTCTTGCGGCTCTTCAAGTATTTTTTGTTGAAAATATTTTTTGTTGAATAATAATTACCAAGCATTAAACTTACCTAAAAAAGAGAGAACAAGAAAAAAATAACATCAATATTTATAATCGGTAAATATTATTAAGTATATCTAATGTGTTTTTAAATTAAATTTTTTTATGGTCTATTGTTTGAAATGTTAGTTTTAAATCCTTAGGAATCGAATGAGGCGTAACTTTTGTACTTTTCAATCCAAATAGAACGTGGATACTATGGAGCTCACAGATAAATACTAAATTTTTTCTTGGGAATATACAGGGTGACATAAAAAAAACTGCAACAAAGTCAAACGCCATAATTTTTACATTTTTTTCACATTTTATTGAATGAAAGCAAAAAATGTCGGAAATAGCATCAAATTTTAGAATAAGTTCAGATTTGTTCTAATTGTTCACCTTTGGCACGAATTATGGCCTTCAAACGGGGCCAAAATGGTTGCGTGCCCTCCAGAATATTTTCGCGATAATATTCGGCATTTATTTTGATGCCCCGGTCGATAAATACGAGCGGAGAGCGACCATCAGCTTTTATGGCGCCACACATCATCACCATGGTCGGCGCTTGAGTTCTGGTGGCCAATCGAAGATACACATTTTCAGCTGACCTCTTTGGTAAATAAACGCAATCATTTTGTTTGTTTACAAACTGCAGGATAACGAATGTTTTCTCATCGGAGAAAACCAAATTCGGCAGTTCACCACTTTCGGTCAAGCGAAGCAACTCTTCAATTTTCATTCTGTTGCGGTGTAAGTTCTTGTACTTTTTGGAATTTCAATGGCTTTACCCCGAGCTCATTTTTCAATATTTGACGAATGGAATATTGCGATATGTTCAGCCCACGAGCCACTGCGACGCGGGTTTCGATCAAGTCTTTTCTTTACTTTTCGAACTATTTCTGTCGATGTTGCTGTTTTCTTCCGTCCACTTCCTCGACGTCGGGCTATGCTACCAGTGTCACGGTAACGAGCGATGTTACGAGACACAAACGATTTGTTCACATTTTAATGCCGGAATAACTTTTTTTCTGGAAAATTCTCACCAAAATGCTTTTGGTCGCTTGTAAACAATATAATGAGCTGTCTGTCACTGGAATAATTTTAACAGCTATTGGACGAGCGGCTTAGAAATGACAGCAGTCTAAAGTTGGTTGCAGTTTTTTCATCTCACCCTGTATGTCCTAGAAATTCCCAACTGATCAGATTTCCCTGTGTGTAAACAAGCTTTTAACATTTTGATAGGGAGATATTTTCCTAAGAAGGATTATCTAAAAACGAGTGAGTAACGCTAACCCAAAATCACTTGTCTTCTTGTCTTTCCCCAGTAATGGATTTAAAAAAAAACGTATTTTCGGAATTTTTAAGAAATCTTGAAAAATGTACCATAAACAAAAACCAAAACAATGTCCATTGTGCCAAGAGCCGATTGCATCTGACCTGTCGATTTAAAATTAATGTTATGTTAATCGAATTTTGTCGTTTTAGTTTTTTTTTTCTCTTCTCGTTGTCGGTGTTAATTTTATTTTCTTGTCCGTGGTGCTCTCCAGGCCAACTTACAAGGCAGATGCCAATTTCCAAAGATAAGGTTTATGGCAATGGTATGGGTGTTGGTATAAAATAATCGTTTGTGTCTGTGTGTAGTTCTTTGTTTTATCTCTTGACTGCAGTTTGTTTTATTTACTTTGTTAATTTTTTTTATTCCACTTTTTTTGCTTCTCCTTTCTTTATTTTGTAAATGTTCAGAGATTATTGTATGTACTCATTTTTACTCTCCATTGTTTTTGTTGCTTCGTTCGTTCGTTCGTTCATTATTATATCTGATTATTGTAGGGGCTCTTCTGATGGCATTCGTGGCCATCGTCGTCGACGTTGTTGTTGTTATTATTGCATATTGGCTGTGACTGACTGACTGACTGCAGGCGTTGCACTATTTCAAGGTCTCTCGGACACTTTATAAATAGTAAACAATTAAGCCAAACAACAAAAACAGCAACAACAACAACAAACTGTAATTATTGCCTTTATTCATTCAAGACAGAAACAAAATTGCCCCATGAATTTTACATTTGAGGGCCCACTACTAAAATACTATTCTGCATTTGAGCATAAATGGCGGTAGTGGCCCGATCGACGGACCGAGCTATTAATTTATGATATTTTGATTACGTTGTTAATGTTGTTAATGACGACATTGCATTTATTAAAGCGGGGGACCATTTTGACTTGTAATACTCATAAATAAAGATAATAGCATTTGTCCGTGGATACCAGTTTCATCTTAGGATACAGACCTACAAGTTTTTTGCTGCAGAGATTGCAAAATAACTGTCTACCGGCAATAAATCAATTTAAGCCACATGACCCTGGACATGAGAGTAACTTGTTTTGAGAAGGATAATTTGTAAAAGTATTCGTCCACGTTTGCATCGAAATAATGTTTTTGAAGGTTACTTAAGCGTCTCTCACAGTTTTCATAATCTAGTTTAGATTTGTTGGAACTGGTCGCCTTTGGCACGAATTATGGCCTTCAAACGGACAATGAAACCGTGACAAACTCGTATGTTGCTCTGCCGTATGTTGGCCCATTCTCGGCGAAGCGCTTGCTTGAGGTGATCGACACTTTGTTATTTTTTAGTGCCAACCTAAATACTCCAGACACAATAGTCCAACGGGGATTGGTATCCGGCTATTATGGCGGTCCACACCATCACCATGGCCGGCGCCTGATTTCTGGTGGCCAACCGAAGGTATACATTTTCAGCTGACCTCTTTAGCAAGAAAACACGATCATTTTGTTGTTTTACAAACTGCTGGACAAAGAATTTTTTCTCATCGGAGAAAACGAAATTCGGCAGTTCACAACTTTCGGCCAGGCGAAGCAACTCTTTAACTCTTTTGAGTCTAATTTCTTTCTGTTGCGGTGTAAGTTCTTGCACTTTTTGGAATTTCAAAATTTATGTGAAATTCTTAAAATTTATGTGAAATCGTACAGTATTTTTGATTTGTCCCTTTAACTATTACTTTTTTGATTCTTGTATATTTTAGGTGCAAACTTATATTAAAGAAAAACAATCACTGCATTTTTCGACATAAATATAAACGTTTGAAAATAATTACTTCAAGTCATGTTTTATGAAATTCACGAGTTCGAGTTGTAGTAATTTTCAGCAATAATTTTTCATGATTAAATACGTTTAATGTTAAAATGTTAACTCGAATTTCAACAACATTATGGCAATAAATGTCGTCAGGTTGTCTGTCGTTCGGTCGTTATTGGTTTTTGCAAACTTGCTGCCTTTTGGCATTTTGATAATTATAGTATTGGTATTTTTCCTTCTTTTTTGTTTGTGTTTGCTGCTATAAGAGCAAATAACCATTATTTATAAATTACTATCAATTACTTTTTTTATGTAATTACATACTGTGATTAAAGTTGATGTCTTGTTTTTAATACGTATGTATTTATTTTTTTAATTTCAAATATAAAAAGTTCTGTAAGAAATGTGAACAAATTTCTGGCATTCAATTCTTTTGAAATTTAAGAATGCAGATACAAATTCAAGTCAAACACATTCGTGTTGCAGATACCGAAAAATTAAGTTAGTTTACACACAGTGCATTCGGCTTATTTATGTCCTCATTGAAGACAAAAATACGAGTTGTTCAATAAATTAAGCGCAATAAAATACATATTATTATTTGTCAAAATTACATATTTCCTAATTGTAAAAATAAAAAAAGATTTATACGTAATTTTTTCCCAAATGTGTAATATTTTCATCCACCGTGTGTAATATGTAATTTCCATGTGGCAACACTGGATATGAATCATCCAGTTGCATCAGCTGATTGAGAATCAGCTGTTTTGTGGCCGATGTGATAAAGTTTCAAATCTTCAGGCAAATAATATAACTTTGATACATCTAATTTTTCACTTCAAATATTGTAATTTAGACACGATTTTCTCAATAATTTAAAAGTGTAACTCATTAATTTCGCAAAACAGCTGTCATTTCTCTGGATTTGTTTGATACCTTTTTGTGATATTTATACGTGAGAGAGGAAACTCTCTCATTACAAGTTGCTGAGTAGCTTTTACTGGGAAAGTTATCGTTCGACCGACCAACTATTCTTGCCCATAAAGACGCGATGATTTATTTAAGTTATTTCTACCCTAATTGAAATGGCCTAATTCATTTCATCGTTAAAAAAACATTTCCTGCCATTAAATGTCATTTACGTATAATATCTTTATTGTTTTTAATTAAATTTATTTATTTATTTCTTGGTTTCCTATTCATTGCATTTTCTTACGTGGCCATATTATTTGATTTAGTTTTTTCTTTCTTTCTTGTGTTACGTTTAGTTCAAATACCTTCCTTCATTAACTAAACAGATAGAGATAAAATGTGGCGCATAGCTTTACCATTTGCCATGGAAGCCAGTATAGATTTTCTTTTTATACCCTACACCACAAGGTGGTCAGGGTATTATGACTTTGTGCATTTGTTTGTAACAGGCAGGAGGAAACGAGATTGACCCATAGTTCCTTTTGATGATCTGCATAGAATCGCATTCTGAGTCGATTTATGCATGTCCGTCCGTCCGTCCGTCTGTCCATGTATTTTTGTAAACAAAGTACAGGTCGCATTTATTGCCCGATCCAGATGAAATTTTGCAAAGATCTTTTGTTTGGCCCAAGGACGAACCCTATTGAAATTGGAGATAATCGGTCAAAATTTAGATATAGCTCCCATATATATCTTCGTCCGATTTGCCTTTTATTGTGCACCAAACGTGTAATATCAGCCCGAATTGTATGGAATTTTGCATATACACCCCAATTAGGCCTGGAAATATGTATGCCAAATTTAATCGAAATCGGTTCAGATATAGCTATAGCTCCCATATATATTGTTCATCCGATTTGTTATTTTTGTCCACCGCCGCCGTAATATGCACTATGCAACAACAATATTTGGGGAAATATATCAAATACAGCTCAGAAATACATTTGCTAAATTTTAT